TAACACCTAAGTACATCGGCAAAACCAAAGCACTTCATACTGTGGATTTTACTGTATATTTGTAGGCAAACACAGCGGCAAATTTTGACACAATAACGTCCCACAAACAACATAATATGAATCACTGATACTGCCCTACTCACACAACTCTCAAATCAGGCAAAGCAAAGCCTTATGCGTACATATTTAAACAAATAAACTGCTCACTGTCTGCTGAAACATTTAATATTTGAAGGCACAGGAAGCCCAGCATAAATAACATTACAGTCGGCGTAAAGCCTCAATATAATCAAAGGAAATCTTTTATTTCCCAAATTGGGGCCTAGAGCTTTTCCAGTGGGCACAGAAAGGTTATACAGATATTCCATAGTATAATTTATGCTTCAGAAACTGGTAAAAAGGGAAATATAGTAATTAGTTCTATGTTTAAACCTCCAAGACCACTGCATTGTCTGGGAAAGAATTGCAGAGGCAGGATTGGAGTGGTGAGCTAGTATTTTGTGCAGGATTCATGGATCTTTCAGCAAAGCTTTGTGTGACCTGCCTTCTTCCCACTCATATGTACTTACTACAGATTTGCATTTGCAGCATCCTTATGATGACATGTGAAAATGCAGAAGCATATTTTAGATAACAGCATAAGGAATCCAAAGGTACATAAGTGAAAATATTGGGTAAGCTGCCAGTTACAATTTGTGGAAACACCTGAATCATAACAGAACACATGGATTAGTTTGGCTCAAAGACAATCTTGACCCAGTGTAAACCTGATACTCAGAATTGGACTTGGACCTCTTGAACATCGTGGTGGCTGGCATGTTGCAAGTTGTCTCATAAAGGTTCTCCCAACACACTGAGGGCAGATGTTCATTGAAGAGCTGATATACAAACACAGAGACCTGGGATGACAGCAGCTGGAAGGTGAGTTTGTGAACACATGCTAATATATCCAGGGCTTGGCTTCCACCTTGATTGGTATGCAGAGAAGTAAGCAGCTGCTGCTTCATCTCCATACCGCCAAATGGTGAAACTATCGTTTAATGGGTAAAGTTGTGTATTTGTGAGCTGTGAGCAGGAGGACAGTGGGCATTTTTTCACGCGTTTCATGCTGAGCTATGCTGCTCACCAGGAAGCTTGCAGAAATTTCCTTGTTTCTGCTATCCACCTACTGAGAGCACAAACCTGTGCTTGTTGATCCAGTCTGGTTGTAGTCACTGAGTGAGCAGATTGTGGGCTCAAGCCCCACGTTGGGAGTTAGAATCACATAGCCTAAGATGACATACCAATACAGTGTTACATTGTCGGAGGTGCCATCTTTTGGATGAGACATTAAACCGAGGTCCTGTCTACCTGTTCAGGTGGACGTTAAAGATCCTATGGCACTATTTGAAAAGAGAAGGGAGTTTCTCCCAGTATCTTGGCCAACCACGCCCCCCAAAATAAAATAAATTAGTCATTCACTCCATGGTTGTTTGTGGAACATTGTTGGACACAAATTGACTGCTACGTTTTTCCCACAAAATACACAGTCAATCACAGTACATCTGTGAAATGCTTTGAGAAATCTCGATGACATTATAAGGCGCTATATCAAATGCAAGGTTTATTTTATTATCAGTTAAGGCTTTGGTTTGCAGGGTTAACAGGAGCTGAGCGGGAAGAATCCCTGTCCCGGTGAATGGTCTGCTCTTCCAATTCCTGGTGATGAGCCAGGCTGGCTGGACTCATCAGCAGTCCCCTGGAGTACTGTCTACCCTCATGGCTCAGGAACTGGACGATCTGTGTATTCGTAGGCAAATGTGACAACTTATTTGTACGCATCAGTGTCTCACAGACAGCCATGAAAATAAAATCCCATTGAGATCTTGGTTAGAATAATGAGTAAATCTTAAGAGTAATAAATAAGTCTACCCTAAATATAATTGGAAATCCCTGAAAGAATTGTTATCCAACAGAACACGATCAGTGATCCTTCAAGATTTTACGGGATCTCCTCCAATACAGATAGCATGTTATTCATGGGAAAACATTATAACGTGTTAACAGTATTTTCCTTTTGGTTAAATAGCATATTCTGCGTGAAGTAACCTCCTTTCAAGTATTTACAAATATTTGTAAACCAAAATAAGGCCAGTCCGCAACCTTAGTGTCTTGTTTGACCCTCAACTATCCTTTCTACCGCACATCTGTACCATGAACCCCTTTACCTTCCCCCACCTCCGCAACATTGCCCGGCTCCACCACTGTCTCACACTGCAGTCCACCGAAACCCTTATGCAGGTTTTCATCGCTTGTCGGCCTCCCCAACTCCTCCCTCCATAGGCTGCAGATCATCCATAACTCTGCAACCCATGTCATCTCCCGCACCCGCCTCTGTGACCCTATCAACCCCATCCGCGCCCAACTCCACTGGTTTCCCATCACACAGAGGAAACAGTTCAAGATCCTGGTCCTCACCTGCAAAGCCCTCCATGGCTTCGCTCCCCCGGACCTCTGCGACCTCCTAACCCCCTACCATCCTGTTAGCTCCCTCCGCCCAGCGGGCCCCGGCCCCGGCCCGCTTCGCTATCGGCGGGTGGGCATTCCGCCACTCTGGAACTCCATCCCACAGTCCCTCCGACTCTCCCCCTCCCTCGCCACCTTCAAGACCCGTCTCAATACCCTCCTCTTTGACCGTGCCTTCAATCACCCGACCCCCAGCACTCCTCCCGCCCCCTCCCCCAGCCCGACCCCCTCCCAGCCCTCCCCCGCCCCCTCCCCCAGCCCGACCCTTCCCCCGCCCTTCACCAGCCCACCCTCCGCCAGCCCGACCCCGCCCCCCAGCCTGACACCCGCCCCCCCCCAGCCCGACCCCTGCCGCACCCCCAGCCCGACCCCTGCCCCCAGCCCGACCCCGGCCCCCAGCCCGATTCCCCACTCCCCTCCAGCCCGACCCCCCACCCCCCACCAGCCCGACCCCCCACCAGCCCGGCCCCCCCCCCCCCAGCCCGACCCCCCACCAGCCCGACCCCCCACCAGCCCGACCCCCCACCAGCCCGACCCCCCACCAGCCCGACCCCCCGTCCCCAGCCCGACCCCCCCCACCAGCCCGACCCCCCCCACCAGCCCGACCCCCCCCCCATCACGACCCCCCGCCCCCAGCCCGACCCCCCCCACCAGCCCGACCCCCCCCACCAGCCCGACCCCCCCCACCAGCCCGGCCCCCCCTCCAGCCCGCCCCCCCCCCCAGCCCGACCCCCCACCAGCCCGACCCCCCCACCAGCCCGACCCCCCACCAGCCCGACCCCCCACCAGCCCGACCCCCCCCCAGCCCGACCCCCCCCACCAGCCCGACCCCCCCCACCAGCCCGACCCCCCCCCCAGCCCGACCCCCCCCCCAGCCCGACCCCCCCCACCAGCCCGACCCCCCCCACCAGCCCGACCCCCCCCACCAGCCCGACCCCCCCCACCAGCCCGACCCCCCCACCAGCCCGACCCCCCCCCCCCTCCAGCCCGCCCCCCCCCCCCAGCCCGACCCCCCCCCAGCCCGACCCCCCACCCCCCCCCCCCAGCCCGCCCCCCCCCCCCAGCCTGACTCCCGGCTCGGGTCCGAAACCCCCGACTGTCAGCGCCTCGGGGGCCGTCCTCCCGACACGAGAGGCGCTTCGCGAATGCACTGCTGTGGCTGTTGCTTTGGGACCAGAACCGCTCCTCCTTTGCGGCGCCGTAAATTGCTGCCAATCTCTCTCCCCCTCGTCACCCGAAGCCCACTCCCCGGTCAGCGGCTCCCGGCCTTTCCCCGATCCCGGTGTGGGAGGGGATGTGCGGTGGAGGCTGTGGGGGGGAGTGAGGCGGTGCTATGTGGCCGCAGACGCGCCCAATGGAAGCGGTGAGGAGCGGAGGAGCAAAGCCTTTGACGTGAGCCTCAGACAGACGGGTCGGGGCGGCGGCCCCCGGGCCGAGCAAACGCCGGGACTGCCACTGCCGGGGCCGGGGGCCGGGGGCCGGGGAGCGGGGGCCGGGGGGCCGGGGGGCGGGGGCCGGGGGGCCGGGGGCCGGGGGGCGGGGGTCGGGGGTCGGGCTGACACTGCAGCCCCACAGCTACACCACAGGGCCAAAGGGGGGGAATCCCAGTGTGGAGCACAGTTACAGCCACAGCCATAGCACAGTCACAGTCAGAGCTACAGTCAGAGCCACAACCACAGCTACAGTCAGAGCCACAGCTACAGTCAGACCTACAGTCAGAGCCACAGCCACAGTCAGAGCTACAGTCAGAGCTACAGTCAGAGCCACAGCCACAGTCAGAGCCGCAACGTGTCAGAGCGGCGGCGCTGCTGCAGAGCGGCGGCTGTGGTGTCACATGTACAGCATTTGCATCCCGACCGCCGCCCCCTCCACCACCGCCCCCACCGCCCCCACCACCACCGCCCACACACACACACACACACAGACACACACACAGACAAAAACACTCCCGGAAAGTAATCAAACCGTGAAACCAGAGCGAGAGAGAGAGAGAGGGGGAGAGAGAGAGAGAGAGAGAGAAAACACTTAAACCTTTCAGAGACGTCTTAAAAGTTTTGTGGTGGGTGTCGGGGGGTCGGTGTCCCCGGAGATGCCGCGGGTCGGGAGGCTGCAGCTCACCCGCCACTGGAGGATGTGAGCGCTTTCCTTTCCTGCAGCTTTTCATCGCCAAACACCCACCGACCGACCGACTGCGGCTGTGAGAGCCTGAACTACAGCAGGAGAGCAACACACAGAGAGAGGGAGGGAGAGAGGGAGGGAGAGAGAGAGAGAGAGAGAGGGAGGGAGAGAGAGAGAGGAGGGAGGGAGAGAGGGAGGGAGGGAGAGAGAGAGAGAGAGGGGGAGAGAGAGAGAGAGAGGGAGGGAGAGGGAGGGAGGGAGGGAGGGAGAGGGGGAGAGAGAGAGAGAGGGAGGGAGAGAGGGAGGGAGGGAGAGAGAGAGAGAGAGAGGGAGAGAGAGAGAGGGAGGGAGGGAGGGAGTGAGAGAGAGGGAGGGAGAGAGAGAGAGAGAGAGGGAGGGAGGGAGAGAGGGAGGGAGAGAGAGAAATTTGGGGAGTACCTCCAGGACAGATCGACCCCCCTCCACACCCACACACCCACTGCAATTCAACTGGAGATGGATGTGCCGAGAGGAGGGTCCGCCGCCTCCTGTTAAAGTTATTGAGTTGAGGGATCCGCACACAGCGAAGGAACAGCTGGAAACACTCCGCACAGAGAGAGAGAGCCGCTCCGCTGTCCCCCGAGAGGTAAGGAGGGCCGTCGGATTTTTCCTTCTTTTTTTAAAATGTGTGTTGGTGTTGGTGTTGTTGTTGTTGTTGTTTTTGGGGGGTGGGGGGGCTTTTTATTTTTGTCCGTTTTATTTTTTTTTCATTTTTTTTTAATAATGGTGTACAAAAAAAAGGATCGTTTTGATATCGATGGGGGGGCGCGGGGGGGGGGGGGGGGGAGGGGGTGATGCGCAAATCTGCTTCTGGGCCGGTTATTTGTTGTATATATAGATATATATGCAATATACATAATATAATATATATATAATATATGTGCAACATATATATAATATATATGCAATACATACACATGCAATATACGTATATATATGCAATGTATATAATATAATATATATAATATATGTGCAGTATATATATATGATATATATGCAATACATACATATGCAATATACGTATATATATGCAATATATATAACATAACATATATAATGTATGTGCAATATATACATATAATATATATGCAATACATACGTATGCAATATACGTGTATATATATGCAATATATATATTCACACATATATATATCACTCACACACACATATATATATTGCAATAAGTCAGACGTGTTTGCAGTTGATGCCGAGCAGAGAGAGGGGGGGGGGGGGGGGGGAGGGGGGGGGAGTGTGAAGGGTGACCCAGTAAAATAGGGTTTGTAGCCCCAAACCCACCCAACAGCAGCGCACAAAGTAGCCCCACGTCCTGCGTGTGGCCCAATCACTGGCGGCAGAGTGGCCGCTGGAGGTTTGGTGCTTTTTCTGTGACTGGGGGTCTCGGCGAAGCTCTTCGAAGGTTTCGGGGAGGAGCAAAAAAAAACAACCACAGGGGGGGGTGTTTCCCCCCACCCCCCACCCCCCGGCTTTTACCCCCCAAAAATTGGAATCGGGCGCCCGCCCAAAGCCGCCCGTCCGGGCACAGGGCCGAGCACAAGCCGCACGGACTGGGCGGGAAAAGCCGCCCAAAGCCGAGCACAAGCCGCCCCGACTGGGCGGGAAAAGCCGCCCAAAGCCGAGCACAAGCCGCACGGACTGGGCGGGAAAAGCCGCCCAAAGCCGAGCACAAGCCGCACGGACTGGGCGGGAAAAGCCGCCCAAAGCCGCGACATTGCCCGGAACTCCGGAACCGTCCGAGTCCCACACACACTCTCTCCCGATTGTTGTCATCACAATGACGGCACTGTCACCGACTCTCTCTCCCACTCACTCACTCACTCACTCACCTCTCACACTCACTCACCTCCCACTCACTCTCACCTCTCACACTCACCTCACACTCACCTCTCACACTCACTCACTCACCTCCCTCTCACCTCTCACACTCACCTCACACACTCACTCACCTCTCACACTCACTCACACACTCACCTCTCACTCACCTCACACTCACCTCACACACTCACCTCACACTCACCTCTCACACCTCACACTCACCTCACACACTCACCTCACACACTCACTCACTCACCTCTCACACTCACTCACTCTCACATTCACTCACTCACTCACACACACTCATTCACTTGCACTCACTCACACTCACACAGTCACTCACACACACACACTGACTCACTCACACACGTTGGTTCACACATGCACACACTGGCTCTCTCTCACACACACACACACACACTGGCTCTCTCTCACACACACACACACACACACTGGCTCTCTCTCACACACACACACACACACACACACTGGCTCTCTCTCACACACACACACACACACACTGGCTCTCTCTCACACACACACACACACACACAGGCTCTCTCTCACACACACACACACACACACAGGCTCTCTCTCACACACACACAGGCTCTCTCTCACACACACACACACACACACACACACACACACACACACGCTGGCCCTCTTACACACACTGGCTCACACACTGGCTCTCTCTCACACACACACACTGGCTCTCTCACACACACACACTGGCTCTCACACACACACACACACTGGCTCTCACACACACACACACTGGCTCTCTCACACACACACACACACACACTGGCTCTCTCACACACACACACACACTGGCTCTCTCTCTCACACACACACACACACTGGCTCTCTCACACACACACACACTGGCTCTCTCACACACACACTGGCTCTCTCACACACACACTGGCTCTCTCACACACACACACACACACACACACTGGCTCTCTCTCACACACACACACACACTGGCTCTCTCAC